TTGTTTGCCGCGCTTACTCGCTGTCTTTGACGACGGCTTGAGAAAAGTTTTGCTGCGCAATGAATATATATCTGCACGTATGCACGCCATCAAGAAATATGGGAGAGAGAAAAACTACCCTGATACACATCCGCAAGGTGCATAGTTTTCGCCTACAACATCGTCGAGTTCGAAAACTTGAAATATTTCATTTCCGTTGGTCTTACGAGTGCGATATATAGCTGCTGCAGTTTGGTTATCATCTTACTATTAAGCTATATTCCTACGCTCGAATTAAATCATCCGACATTAGTGTTTGTTCAAAGGAAATGAACATTTCTTACTGCTTGACTTAATTCAATTCAAGCCGTGGAGCGAGCAGAAATCCTCATATTCTTTATAATCATTTGTTGTAAGCTCGAGGAGGCTTAACTTCGACTACTCCGAGTTCATCGGAGAATTTAGCTCGATAAATGCACACGGATGACTGCTTATTTTTAACGTCGCATTCTATGCTGGCTCCAGAGTCATAACAAAGATATATTTTACGCGCAGACAAACTGCAGATACTTTTTGGATTCAGATTATCATATCTTTGATTGCTTTTTTCAAGAGGTTAATAATAGAAATTTGTCAGGCTGGCAATTACGCGTCACACTTCCTCGAAGCGTAAAAATTCGCCCGAAAGCTCTCGTCAAAATGACATCCAAATACTCAGTGAAAGCGCGAAAACTCATTAGTCATGCAAAAGTTTCTCCTTGTACTCAGAACATCCAACTTACCTTTTTATATAGATACTCGAAGAAATGGATAGATAGATTGGGCTGGAGGCGCCGGGCACCTTATAGAGTTTTACATCTTCCACGCCAAGAGCAGCCAATAGCAATGAGAGTCGCAAAAGTTTTTTTTCTTCCTCTATCTCCGTATCTCAGTTGTAGCAGTAGCAGCAGCCAACTTTTAACTTTGGAATCATGTTCTTACTGTGTCTCTCGTTTATTTTTTTACCTCTCGTTCGATTTTCACTTTGCCCGATAGTTCGAAAAGGTAAAATTCTAAGCCTTATTTTGTTCACCTAACGAAATAAATTCATACGCACTGTGATTATTTATAGAGGAAAGATTTTTAAAATGCTCAAAAACAAACGATGGATTCAAGGATGCTCAGCAATGAATTGTGTTACTTGTCATAATTTCATAGGGGCACCTACTATTCTTGCTCTCTCCATCTCTACTCTCACTCCAGATATGTTAGAATGTGAAAAATGCTCGACCTTGCTCTGCTAAATGCGTGTATATGTATAAGCGCGAGTCGCAAGTTCTGCATAAGCAACAAAAATTCACATATTTAATGCGCCCTCACCTACTGAACTTGAAACTCCATGGACCATCTTAATTAAATTCTTCAAATTCCGAGGCTCTGACGGACGCTCTCTCTCTCTCTCTCTCTCTCTCTCATTCGAAGAATTTCGCGTTAGCTACGAGAAGATACATTTAAACTTATTTGCGTGGCGTTCGCTGAGAACGAAAATAAAAAAACGCTCGCCCCGCGCTATTGTTTATATTATGCTCGCCACGAGGAGAACGGAACGTCCGTGATAATAAATTTCTAGCCCGCGATGGTGTGTTTTGCGCCTGGGAGATATCTTGAAAAACGGTTGAGATATCGCGTACAGCAGTCAAGATTCGCGTGGAAGAAAAAAAGCGTTCCTCGTCGAGCTTACTTTTGTTTACCGAGCTCAAGTTTATCTGCCGTTTCTTTTGTTTCGGTGAGTAGAATAAACAACACAAATCACTCTAAAATCTGATACAAATCCAACGTTTTTGGCTCATTATCTGAAAAAGCTATGCGAGATCTTTTTGCCGAGAGAATATTATCACGCTGTAGTATTAACTTTGAATGTGGAATCTCTTGAAAGCCTTATTATTAACCGAGGCCAAAGTTACGCGATACAAACTTGTGCATCATAATTATCAATATAATTATTGTTAATGTTGCCGACGCTCGTGGAGGAAGGAGAAAGTGAAGATTTTGGATTGTAGCTCTTTGGATGGAATATTGTATGCAGTGAGGAGAGCTAAATATACGTTGCGAAACATTTGGAATATAATTTAATATGTAATACCTTGTTAATATCGAATTTAATCTATTGGAAGTTCTCTTCGAGGGGGAAAATACCTATTGAGTGAAGGAGAGAGATAGAGAAAGCAACAAGTAGAGCAAGCGTGGCTAAGTCACAATCTACAGGTTAAATTACGGCACTATTAACAAGATAATTTTCCGATAATTTAACAAGTTTCGCCACAAAAAATTGCTAAAAAATTAGTGATATAAAAAATAATTGCAAAATGATAGTTTGAAATTAAAAATGTTACGGATTGGTTATCGGCACTGTTGATATAATTTTTTATTTTAAAAAGAAAGCACATGAATGATTACATTTTTCATTAGGAACTTCACGCACTTTGACTCGGCAAAGCAACGAAAACAAAAAAACCATGTATCAATTACTTTGAAAGAAGCGATCTCACGCTTTTGCTTGCCGGGCGGTCGGAGCGTAACTGAGAGGGCTCATATCAGGGGCGGTTGAGATGCGAGAAGAGCGAGCGAGCGAGCGAGTGAGAGGAAGAGAGATGCGACGAGAGGAAAAGCGCGCGCGTGTGCGCGCCCGGTCAATCTTGTGTGTGTGCGCACTTCGCTCGTTGGCCTTCGCGGCTCGTGTCTCTTGCAAGTGAAATTTCTTCAGACTCGTTGAATCACGATCCCTTCTTAATATTCACCCTTAATAATTAATAACCTGGCTTATATTCAACTGATTTTTTCTCCTCCATTTATTTATTCATTTAATGAAATATCAAGAGTGAATCGTATGGACTTTGAACATCAGAAAAACTTTGAGAGCAATGTTTTTAACGATTTTTTTTATTTACAAAAAAGCAAAGTCTAAAATTACCCGAAAGCTTTGTAAAGCAGTAACACGGTGACGTAACTAACTAAAATGAATTCAATCGGTGGTTCAACTATCTCTGTAAAAGTTTTCGTTGGTCTATGAAAATTAGCAAGATCAACATTCCCATTACTTTTTGGGGAAAATTTATGCGAATTATTAAAATAACTAAATCATCAAACTTTTAATCGATTTTAAATCATTTGCTACTACTATTAAAAGTATTAATTGTTTTTCATCATTTTATTAAGGATGTTTAGATATCTGAAAGAACGAGATTATACTTAAAGTTTTAATCTGACCCGTATTATATATTGGAGATCATGTAAACTATAAATAATCAATTAAGCAAAAGTATTCCTCTTGAGACATATATGAGTTCAATTACTCCTTATGACACGATGTAGATGACAATTGATGATCCGACACGTTCCAAAAAAGTATGCATAACATTGATGTCATAGCAGCAATAGTTCTGTTGGAATTCTGTACCAAGTGCATACATTTAAGTAAAACATGATTAATTTTCAAAAAAAATTCTAGTCACAACCGCACAGAATAATACCTTTAGACACACAGTTGCATGATTAGTGCAGTAAGAGCAGTAGCTATACCGCGATGCTATAGTGTACTAATTAGGTCACAGAAAAACTTACCACCATTGAAAATGCTGCATTCTAATCAATAAAAATTTTTCAATTTCAATAGTATGTTTGAAAGATCACAAAAATCAGAATGATAAGATGAGATTTCCATCAAACTTATTATTCAATTTATTTTTAGGTGAGTGTCAACGTCGACAGCAGCTTTATCAGTAATAATAATAGTTAAATGATTATATTTTACGGATAAAAAGCATTAATTAGTTTATGGTTCATAAATATTTCAGGTATACCGTTCTATCGATTTTAACTTCTAGCAGCCAGTTATAAAAATATTATGTTTTCAAATATTTTTTTAACTAGCTGATATGATGAACTGCAGATTTTTTCAATGTATTTTTTATCTTACTTTTTGCGATAGAACAGGAGATTGATGTTAGTTTAGAAATTTATGAACCCCTACCAAGCTCTTTAAATAAGCTTTGGAGCTTAAAATCTCGTGTTCTATTCACACAATCGATAACATATTATACTAACACACGCAGATTACTTTTGTAAATTAATAATATGGAATATGACGTATAATTATTTTCTCAAATGAATTCTTTCAACCACACTTGTGTTTATATAACAAAGAGTACTTTGCGGTCTTTTATCGCATAAATTTGATGTGCAGTTTTTATTGGAATTAAATTAATAATATTAAACTTGTAGAGATTTTATGAATCATTTTAATAATTTTTAATTAATCAATGTTATAACGATAAATTGCAATCACATTATGTTCAGGCTAAAGTAATTTAGTAAATGATACTTACATGATTTTTAAATTAGAAAATTATATTAAAAGATATAAAAAGTCACAAAAAATCGTTATGTTTAACTGTACATGAAATCATTTCAGAGCATTTACATGATTTTTCGTAAGCTTTTATAAATTTTCTTTATTTTTAAATTAAAAAAAGTTATGATTTTTTGTTTTTAATATTTAAGAAGTATTATGGCTTGTCTATCATGTAGTCAAATAAGTCAACCAAATAAAGCATTGAAAAATGTTGTTTGACATAGACTTGTAGAAGCCTGGAACAGATCTTGTATCATATGCTACTAATATTTTTCGATAATCAAATAGTGACTTTCATTGCGCAAATACGAATATAATATTTTGAAAAAGCTTATGTCAAATTTCATTTTGACTTGACGTACAAAAATGGTTTATAATATAACAGTTTTTTTAAAACAATACAGGCCTACTGTTAATGATATTTAACGATTAAATTGAAAAATATTATTTTATTGAAACAATATAATCAATAGTTTTTATCACTAATTCTGAAACTAAATTTTAAAACCAAAAAATAATTTATCTCTATTTTTTTTATTTGAGTAATAAACTATTGAATTTAGTTAATAATTTAAAAAATGGTTTATGTTATAAATATTTCTACTGTAACATAATAAAAATTATTTTTCCGTTCAAATTTATTGACATTTTTACTACGCATTCAAACGTTTATCGGATTATTTACAAAGGAAAATTAATATTTATGTCCACGTTTTGGTTCAGCGTAATACACGATGCGCAGAAACTCATTCCAACCAATCACGATGATCCAAATAAAGGGTAGGTAGTGTTAAGCCAAGTATGCATACATCAGTTTCATCGTTGGCAATTTTTCAAAAAAATACTTTAGAAACATGAGTGGCTATGCTTGCGAGCATCTATTGCTGAGTTCATCGTCTGGACACTTTCAAGTACGAATACCCTTTGCTCGATGAAATATTATCCTTCGATATACAAAAATGTACTCGTACACGTGTCATCTTTTGGTGCTAGCATACTCACGCACACCACACGTACATTTGTTGAATCCCGGGAGAGGTAAATCCTATCTCTAAAGTGCAACGCGCGTATCTATCCACAGAGCCTAGCTATTATGAGGGTGTGTATAACATCTAAAAGCAAAAGAGAGCCCGCAGATTCCCACGTGGACTTTTCATGTGTACGTTTTTCTTTGAGAGATTTAAGGAGACACCAAAACCAGGGTAAAATGAAAATTACTAAACATATTTCCCGAGATTTCTACTGAATGTTTTCTTTTCTCAAAAGCCACGTGGATTTTGAGCTTCTTTCTCTATTCACGTAGCTTTTGAGAAAAGCATTGCAATGATAAGTCTGAAAACATGCTTTAAAACTTTCCTTCGCTCCTGACATATCATTAAAAAGTATCGATTTTTGCGTTTTATTCATTGGTAATGGAAATTCATTTGTGAACTTTTCTGTTGAAATCTGAACGAGCCGTAAATTCAAGCTCAATATCTTGGTTTTGATGGCCCTATCAAGGATAAGGACTATGAGTTAATATCGTATACATTGTTATTGCCAGGTATATAACGAGGCGAATTATTATCCACATCAGCACTATACGATCCTTTTGAAAGCTCCAGGTCGAAAGGAGCTTTTAATGCAGCAAACCTCGGAAGTGCAGTAAAATCGGGGCTATAAACGAGCGCATTTCACACGTGTCCCAAGTTTTTTTTTTTGGTATTATTCATTTTTTTCTAAAAAATTATCATTTTTGCAGACTAGAGGTACGTGCGCAAGCTATGCTAAGTAGGTCAGAGATATTTAAGCACGTATGCGCGAGGCATGGTGCGAGAGAAAGAGAGAGACAGAGAGAAAGGAAACTCGCGTACCAATACATTATATTTCGGTGCACAGTTATCTGAAGCTCGCTCATCCGAAATCAGAGCTGCGGTTATCATCGAGAGAGAGTCGGTGCGGCGTCGGTTAGCACAAGCGTCGTGCTCGGGGGGATTTCTCGCGATTCGTCGGCGCGTATAAGCTGCCCTTCGTGCAGAGTCATCATATAATGTCTCTATAATTTAGCAGCCCCTGATCCGTTCGACTGTACCTGCCGCAGCTCGTTTCGGACGTATTTTCTTTGATCGGAGATCGAATTAAAGCACCGAGCACTTTAAAGTGCTCGCGCTTTGCTTACCTACATTCCGCTCGCGCACTGCAAATTTATCGCTCACATAATAAATACACGACTCCATATCCTATCGTATACGCGTGCTGGAGTAAATTTCAGAGGAGAATATGTATAAATTATGTTTATCAGCGGATATGCGCTTGGAATATCGATGCAGCTCGCAGCAGCAACGCAGCAATAGCCACGCTCTCGTATCGTAAATAGGATACTCGCTCTCGCACGGACCTCGACGCACGGCTTGCTAAGAGAGTTTTCCGATTTTTTCCCCGTCCAGCTTGCTCGAAAGTTTCTCGAGAGCGAATCAAAGCGGCTATCGTGTAACGTGTACACATAGCAGGCAGCGAACATTAGCGGATGTATCGGGCCACGAAAGCACAAACAGCCGGCCTCACGTTTGTTTTAACATTCGGTGTAACGTACTAATTACGCGTGTACGGGCGCACACAGCCCAAGGCCCCCTCCCTGCAAATGTGCACGCGGCGCTGGACGCGCAGATATAGGCGCGCGCAGAGAGCCTCGGAAAACGAGTGAGTCGCGCTCGGCGTGTGCGATATGGCCCTGCGCCGCGTCGTAAATAATACCATCACGTAGCTGCGGCTCTGCTGCTGCTGATGCAGAGGTCCTCTTGGACAGCGAGCCGTCGTTGTCCGAGATATTTCCTACGTGATATACTCTAGTGATGCAACTCTCGCTTTACCCCAGCTGTCATCGTATAGCCTGCATAAAGGATAGATTAAGAGTCATTACGGCGCACGGCTCGCCCGTTTATTTCGCTTTGCCGATCGCTCTTGTTATTTACTCGCTCTTCAAATCAGAAATAATGCCGAATCGAGTCTGCTTAACTTACAAAATGCTTTATGGCATCTAATAAAGAAGCGTAAAACGCGGCTGTCTTTATCTACCTTTGAAACGTCAACTGGTATACGACGGTATTTACTCTGCGCGCTGTTCACAGAGTCATGGCTGGAATCCTCTTGAAAGGTCGCATTTTAGGTAAGCTCAAGCAGTAGTCCTCGAGAGCAGCTGAGGATCCTCAGAGACTTGCCAGAAATACGTATTCCTGAGACGAGGATAATTAGACGATTCTTTTGTATGCAAGTGTTGTCGATTTTTATCCCTCGAAAATCCTATGTTAGCTCGACTTTGAATCTGCAATGATGTAACGGTATATCTCTTTAAACTCTCGAGCACGTAATAGCTTCTCTCTCCCTCTATCTATCTCTTTATCTCTCTCTCTCTCTCTATTTCTGACTTTGCTACTGAATAGGAAATTTGCTTTACTTTATATAATGTAACGCACAAAGAGTCTGCGATGTACTTGCGAGTCTCTTTTTTTCATCCTTTTTTTTCCTATGACTTAATATGAAACTCTAAGACCTCACTTACTGCTTTCGATAGTGCCCGTGAAAAGCCAACGACATTCGTGAAAAGGAGCGCATCTATAGACGAGACTTTTTATGACTAATACTCTCCAGCTACTCAGGTGCACGAAGCAAAGTCACTCTTGCGTCTCTCTATAAAAAGTTAATGACGAGGAAGGTGAAAAAGAAAAAATATTAACATTTATTCACGTCTCATTTAACGATGGAAGATTATTGCTAAGTGAGTTATGAAACGTGATTCATCTGGATTTTTGGAGAGATTATGGCTGCGTCGTTCTGGGCACAAAAGTGAGTAATTTCTATTGTTTTTCTCACTGTCGGTTAATTGCTACGGCAGAGCTGCGAGCCGAGCCAAATTTAGCAACAGAACAAAGTGGTCGCGAGATGCGCCTCCAGCGACGCGTAGATTTTAATTTCATGTATTCATCGCCGCTGATAATCTCGAAACCGCACAATAACTACTACACTGCCTTTACGCAGTGACAATCGAAGCAGTTCTAATTTGCGCATTGTGCCCATGAGCAATTGTGGGCCGCGATTTCTCCGATAATCCGCAGCAGAATGTAATCTCGAGCGGTATAACAAGACGAGGGTCAATGAAAGTCCACTTAAGCGTACAGAGCTTCGTCCCTAAATATAAGAAGTGAGGATGAAATTGTATAAGCCGCGTATGCTCCGGGGACGTTGCATAGCAGCTGTAGCGGCAGCTGCGTCGCTCTCCCGCTCGCGTAGAGTAGCTATATATTCATCACGAGCCCTTGCAATGAGAGAAAATCGATCTGTGGCTTTCTCAGCCTTGCATGCCGTAATGACCCTGGCGAGCATCTTTTCCATTAAAATCGACCGATTCCCCTTCTCGAGGAAAAATTAAGAATAAATCATATAGACATCGTGAAAACGAGGCATTTTTACACTTGCACACGAACGCAAGAACGATCTCGAGGCAGTGCTGTGCTTTTAGCGAAATTCATCATAATAATAAAAGCTACGTAACGCAGACGTCGTTTACATCCGCGTCGCAAGCTCGATACCCGCAAAATCCCCCCTCTCTCTCTCGCTCTCAAGCTCCGTAGATATACGAGCTTGCTGCTCGGATGGTACGCGCTTGCGCTCGGTGGCCAGTAAGGGGCTGCTACACGATGATATAATTCTGACTGTGTGCGTGAAGCGCTGCGCACGAGCATAGGAAAAATTCGGAGAAACATGGCGCTGCGCAAGAGCTACGACTGTTTTCCTGTGAGCCATGTAGAGTTTATCAACAAAAGTCGCTGCTAGTTTGATTAATTTAAGTAACACATGTAACATGAGTGCTTTTGATCGGTGAAAACAAAATGTGAAGTGGCTCTGCACTATGGCGTGCAAGGACGGTTTGTTTCTGCTGGAAATTGTGCTCCTTACTGCCTTGCTGCTGGTGTCCTACTCCGAAGGTACAAATTTCAATAAAATTGATTAAACTCATCGTTACGACTCGGATCGTATCTGCATGGAAACTCTTGATAGTGTATTGCATTACAAGGAGAAAAATGTCGATTGTCAGAGCTCGACTTGATATTGAAATTGTTCGCTTTCAACACTGTTAGATTAAGAATTTATCGTAGAATTGAAATTTTTCAAAATCTTTTCACCTGCATGTCCTTATCGTGGCTTATTTAATCGCATTATTATTGCTTTTCCAACTACACTTGAAATTGACGTCACAATGGGCAGCAGACGAGCTCTGACGTCACGAGAGGGCAGACAGCCTCCCATTAAAACCACGCAGAGTTGTATTTAAATAGCTTGTAAAACAAACAATAATAATCATCGTCCATGCTCGTTCCCGAGTTTACACGATGCTCTCAATGATTGCCGAGCTTTATTTTGTTGTTGTTTTTTTATCGGCAATATGCTTCATCATTTATAGCGACATTTATTATTTTTCACTGCTTCGAATACCTATGTGCACGTTGAATATTCATATTTGTAGCGAGCAATCGATACGTTAATTCAAATGCAATTGGTTGGAAAAATTGTCATTCGATTCGATGGGTTCTATGTAGGTCAGCTGACGGGAAAAGAGCACAGAACGCACGCCGCAGCCGAGAGAAAAGACGACCTATGGTGCTATCAATGCGACAGTATCGGCGAGGGTGACAGCTGCTTCTTCCTCAATATAACCGGGAACGATACTTCGCTCGCGCAGAAGTGCAAGGACGACAGGCGCATATGCATGGTACGCTCTTTTTTCTCAAAAGCTCATAAGTAAATATCGAATAAAGAAAAGAAGTGAATTTTCCAACGGTAGGTAAAGCGTTTCTCCTACACGACGAGCACGGAAAACTCGACTTCTCAGCCGAAGATGTGGGGTATGGAGCGCAACTGCACCAACAAGTGCGAGGAGGGTTGCATAGTCATCGGCGAGCGCACCAAGCTCTACGCCTGCACGACCTGCTGCGAAAAGAACTACTGCAACACGGGCAACGGACAGTCGGCCGATTACGTTATCAACGACGTCGAGTTCTTCCTGGCTGTGCTGCTACAGTTTATACTTGCCAAAGCTCTCAGTCCCTGCCATTCCACCTCGTGATATTTTCATTGTTAATTCTTGAAACAATGTAGATAAGTTTTTTCTCTGTAAGATATCCTACATTATAAAGCTGCAAATAAAATCGAGCTCCATTTCATTCTAGTCTTTCTTATATATGAGCAAAGTGAAAAATAGCGGTCTTGAATACTTTATTAAATCCTCACCCGAACTGCAGCATCCAGTAGCATCCTGAAATCGAGCATGATGTGCAGTTGGCGCCCCCGGGGGAGAAACGATCGGAACGCTATTTTCCTAATAAATTCTTGAAATAGAATTTATGCTTTCCAAAAAAATTCACTCGAGTTATTGGGTCAGGTGAAAATACTATAACGTACGGCCGGAGCTTTGAAAGCGAGCTCTCTATCCAATATATCTGCGCAAACTTTATTAACTCGTCTATTTCGCAGAACACGAGAATTGAAACATTAAACAATGTACGCGATAGCTATATAGGTAATTTGAACGGATTAATTAAAGCTAGGCTCGAGTTTTCCATGAATTCAGTCAATGTAAGTCAGATTGTTCTTACGTGCAACGCCGTAGTCCATTAAAGTCGCGCCAGAGGCGTATACACATACACACGCTGCTGCGCGCTCCGTCGGGGGAACTTTACGATTGACACGACGATGTTGCTCTCGGATAAGTTTCGCGGTGGATGTACGTGCATATGCGCGCCTGTGACTCTCTCTACATGTGCAGTACATGTGTATTTACAGAGTCACCTCTCTCGACGCAGTTGACGTGGCTAAATATCTCACTGTCTCAATTTGCGCTCAAAGAAGTCGCTATTGTGTGCAGGCGGCGGCAATCAACGATATATTGCCCTTTATTGCAGGCGACGCAGCAAGAGAAAGTTGAGCCGTTGGGACAATTGACTTTGAAATTCGTCGATATCGAGCGGGCTTTTTTCGCGCCGATTCGTTCATTCGCGCGTCGCGAACCGGAGCGAGAGATCGAGCGAGGGAGAACACTGGCAGTCGATTTACAAAAATAAAAAAGGAAACGTTAAAAATACTCGCAACGCGCGGAACTGCGAGCTGAGGCAGCTTAATAGTCGGCGAAAAACTCGGTTGTAAATTATTTCTAAATTCGATCGAATTAAAAATATATATTTATTTGCGTGTTGGGGCGCGAGTGTAAAGGTACACGTTTAAATACATGTTGTACACGAGTATACGCTCGGGCAAAGTGTCTCGAATTCCGTCGGGTCCCTCTCTCTCTCTTTGCTGCTGCTGCTCTCTCTCTCTCTCTCTCTCTCTCTCTCTCTCTCTCTCTCTCTCTGCTGGCACCGAAACGTCTCGCATGCGCGCGTGTATCCAAAAAGCATCTATGATGTCTTTCTCCCTACTTTCTTCGGGTCTCTACGAAAAACGTGCAACAAGAGCGGCCAGAAAGACGAAAAAAGAAGGGAAGGAGGAGGACCAAGTGGGAAGGGAACACGTACAACACGAGCATATAGCGGCAAGCGAGGGCGTGTGTGTGTGTATGCGTATTCCGAACACTGACCGTCTCTCTTTCTCTCTTTCTATGCGGGAGCAAAATACTAAAGCCATACGTGCCGTATATATACCGCCAATGTTGCCATTATTAGAATGCTTGGCTCGCGCGCGCGTAAAACGTCTGCAAGTCTGCTGCTGCTGCTGCTGCTGCTGCTGCTGCTGCTACTGATGCTGATGCGATATATTCCGGCAAGAGACACACACGCACACATACACAGCACACATAGTCGTGCTATAATTTGTGAGTGTGTACACAGCATGGCCAGTATATACACACACGACAACTGCCGCCTAAATTCAGTCGCGTGCAAACGGCAAGACACGGCGCGGCTATACACTCGCATCTCGCTCTCAGGCCGAATCGTAACGCGTACATAATATACAGCACTCGTGTGTGTGCACTGCTCTCTCTCAGCTAACGATTTGTGCAGTCTACACCGATACAACAACGCAACATATACATAAATTCAGTCGCGCGTAATGCAAGCCGACTGCGGCTCGGAGCTTTCGCTCTTTCTCTCGTTGCGGCCCTAATTGATCGCGATGATTAAACTGGGTGTTGGCGGCTTTTTATTTTTTTAAACACAGCTCTCTCGGTCCTCTCGTCTCTGGCTGCGTGAGAAAAATTAATTGAATCGTCGTCCGTGCGGCCGATTATGCACGTGATGCGCGCGAGCTCGCGCATGTCTGTGATGCGGCTACGTCTCTTGACTCTGAGCCGCTGCTGCTGCTGCCGCTCTTGCTGCAGTGCTGCGTGCAGTTATTTTAAAAGTAAATTACCGAGTGCGTCTGCTGAGTCGGCCGACTGGGAAATGCCGGCGAAAAGAGCGCGTGTGAATTACGCGAGTGCATAGTGTGACCAGTGAACCGAAACCATGCCCTCGTGCGTCGTCTTGACCCTTGTGACGCTTCTCATCGCTGCGGGCTGCATCGCGAGCACCTCTTTACACTATCCTCGGATCGTCCATCCACGTGTGATACCCAGCGCCGAACTGTCTCGCGATCGCCGCTCGCTTCACCACGGCTCCCCTCTCAAGAAGGCCGACCAAGATGACGAGGACGCGCTTTACGTCTCGCTGCACCGCTGGATTCTCAAGACCCAGCCGAATCGACGCTTGCTTTTCAGCTCGGATTTCCAAGTGCAGTGGGCCGGCGACTCGAGGCAGAACTCGTCCTCGCTGGACTCGTGCGAGAGCCGAGAGGGCCGCATCCAGGGCAAAGAGGCCCGTTCCCAAGTCATACTGACGAGGTGTCGAGACGACTTCTTCGGCTTGATCATACTGGACTCGCGAACCTACCTGATCGAGCCGTTGACGCAGCAGACGGCCAGCGGTGGCGAGCACCTGCTCTACGAGGCCGACTACGCGCGAGTCAGGCGCGACCTTGCCGGCGATTTTCAGGCCTCCCTCGTCTACGAGAGCAGCGACAGGACCTACTACAATCTCACCGGTGACACTTTTGCGCGTGAAAATTACGACGAGACGCCGAACTTGCTGAAGCAGAGCGCTCGGTTGGAGTCTCGAAATAATCGTCTAGACGGCGTCGTCGAGAGTAGCACCGGCAGTAGCAGCACCTACGACGATCACGACTACTATCTCGATCCTTTTTCCAGTGAGTTTAAAACCAGATCTTGCCGCTCGATCGGATGTGCAATGGGCATCGACTTTTTACATAAAATTTTGCAGACAAAAAATCGACATCGACATCGCCGAAGATGACGGGCCAAACAAACACTTCATCCGTATCATCGATGTCGGCTTCGAAATGGCTTGAATTGGCAATCGTGGCGGATTACTCGGTAATCGATTTCCATGGCTCGCGAGTCCAACAATATCTCTTGGCACTTCTAAACATCGTAAGTTGAGATGTCCCTTGGACGAAGACACACGCATGGACTGATTAATGCGAAAAGTTAGCCGATAAGATCGTTGGATAATCCACTTGTCGAGAAGCTCGCTCTCGGTACACTTGGGCAAATGGCCTCGAGCGTTGTATATACCTACACGGTGATATAAGCCGAAGGCAAACTTTTCAAAGTATAAAATTCATGGCGTTATTTTCCCTCAGGTAAGCGCGATTTATCAAGATCCATCCCTCGACGCGAACATGCAGGTGGTAGTCAGTCGCATGATCCTCTACAGCGACAAAAAGGACAGCATGGTAAAGTAGAGCCGAGCCAAATCGAATCATAGTTTCGGGCGGCAACGTTGCATGCACATTACATACATGGATTTTGCAGGTACATCAGGGCAATGCGCGTCGCTCGCTCGAGAACGTGAACAAGTGGAACCGCAAATTGTTGGCTTCGGACTCGGACGACGTTACCGCGAGCAGACACGACGTGGCCGTATGGTTGACTCGATTGGACATCGGCGGTCCATCTGGCTACGCTCCCGTATCCGGTGCCTGCGATCCAGCCAGATCCTGCGCTCTGAATCGCGACGAGGGCTTCACCAGCGCCTTTATAATCGCCCACGAAGTCGCTCACATGTACGCGCACGTTTCGTTTTTTTTCCAAGAAGCGCTATATAGCTCTTTTGTCAGGCCAACTACAGAGTACAGACGGCTACAAATCGCCTCGTTGATTTTGCAGATTGGGCCTGTCGCACGACGGCGATAAAAATGCGGGCAATAGCTGCGCGAGAGAGGCCGCGCGGGGCAGCATAATGGCACCGATGGTCGCAGCGACCTTTCATAATTTCTACTGGTCTACGTGCTCGAGGAAAGAATTTCAGCGCCGAGCCAAGCTCTGGACTTGCTTGGACAATCAGCCCGAGATTTTCGACGAAAATCACCCGCAGGTCAAGCCGAGCAACGAAGTGTTCGGCATGGACGAGCAGTGCCGGATGGAATTTGGAGATGGGTATGACAACAAAAAAATGTTAATTTTTTAACAATTAACCCTCGCCTGGCTCTGTTCGTATAGTTACAATTCCGTATAATTAATTTCCAACTCGGTTAATGTACACATGTCTGCAAAATCGTGCGGCTTAAATGCTTCGAATCGATATTATGCCGTGGATATAATTAACCGCATGCGGTGTAATACAATTTAGTACAACATTGCGGTCAACACTGACGCTATCCCTGATGAATTCGCAATTTCAACTTTCGTTGCGAGATATACGCGTATTTTTGACATTTTATGGGATTTCAGCTACAGCCGGTGCAAGAACTTGGAGTCGACGAATCTGTGCTCTCATCTGTGGTGCGGCCGGGTCAACAGTACCATGCAGGCCTGCAAGACGAAGAAGGGACCGCCTCTCGAGGGCACGATTTGCGCCGAAAACAAGGCAAGTCTCGGCATCGACCGAGAGCGAGCGAAAAAGAGCGAATTAGTCTCGAGGCTTTAATTTTGACGAATTATGTATTGCGTTGGTTGCAGTGGTGCGTAAACGGGTCGTGCGAACCGATCGATCGAGCGAGATACGATCCGAAGCCGCTGCTAGCTCGGGGCTCCGCTGAGAACACTTGGAGCTCTTGGAGCGAGTGCTCGAGGACTTGCGGTGTGGCGGTGCAGCACAGACATAGGCGCTGCGATGCCGAGTGAGTACCTACATGTTTTCGCTATAAGAGCTTACACCAAGTATATACGAGTCATTAACGAGCGATTGTTTAGCTGCAAAAACGCCAGGGAGTTTCGAATTTGTCGGGATCTGCCGGAATGCGAGGATCGGATCGACTTGCGGGCTCGTCAATGCCTGCGATTCGTCGATAACGTGGCGGACTCGACGAAAAAGAGCAGCTATTATCAAGCTCGTAATCAGAGCAGCGGCAACGCCTGGATTCCTCACGTACCGCAGCAGGGCACTCCGAGCTGCCGACTCGTCTGCTACAACCGAGACTCGGGCGAAATATTCCACACCGGCTTGAACGTCGAGGACGGCACGCCGTGCTCTTACGACTCCTCGGACGTCTGTATCGATGTGAGTAAAAGCGAGAATAAAAATAAACCGCCGTTGCTCTCGGCTGCGTGCGATAAATTCAAGCAGCTATGTGGAGGGAGACTTTATAATTGCTTTTCAAGGGCATCTGCCGTCCGATGGGCTGCGACCGTGTATTAGGCTCGGGGCGCAAGCGAGATGCGTGCGGTCGATGCGCCGGTGACAACTCAACCTGCGAGGTCATCGGGGACAAGTTTCAGCGGAAGCTACGTCGAGGTACGCAACACACTTTATGCACAGCCAATATCTCTATATACATGTACAAAGCCCGATAATTGAATGTCCTTTAGAAAAGCAACTAGTTTGCCTTTACCTTAGGATCTCCGCTCGCATGCTGCATTAAAGGCCTTTGCCTCGCGCTAGCTCTTTTATATAAATATAGACCAGCTCGTCGAAACCGACAATTCGATCAACTGAGTTAAAAGAGTGCGTCCACTGTAAATATTTTCCCTTTCCAAATATCGTAATAAATCAAATCGATTGATTTTTTAAAAATTTCATTCTAACCCACATCATTTTTAAACAAAGGCATAAACATTTTCAAATTTCGTTCAATTGAAATGATCAATTAAAAATTCATCAACGTTAGAAATGAGCCGAAACCATTTTTAAATTACGCTTGTAATGGCGCCACTACGAGAAACAGAAATTTTATTTACTCGTTCTCGTCGCCAGGAGGCAAACTTGTTTATAAAGCGATCGCGTCATTGATTTTTCGTTATTACAGCTTAAATACTCGACAACATAAATTCATACTAATATAACGGGTTGTAAATTGTAATTGTTTTTCTCTAATATTTTATTGAATCAAATATGAGATGAATAGTTGATCAAGTTTATGCTCAATGCATGAAAGTATCGCGTATAAAAAATTAGGTCAGACCAAAGTATATGTAGACGAGTCGAAGCTACATATATCAGCTGGGAGCGTAGCGGCTTCTGTAATCCAGCTACTGGAGGCTAGTTGTGGTGGAGGATCTGAGGCTGGGGCTCACTGCTGGTACGGGCTCCACGTCGACTGGGCGTCCGCACTAAGCTCGCCATCAATATGGGCACCTCGGAGGAGTCCGAGGTGGCCAGGTTAGTTAAGGAGAGGCGAACCGGGCCAGGGGGGTAACCCAGCAGCCAAAAGTCTCCGTGGCGAGCAGTAGTGGGATCGCGCCCGGGAGTGGAACCGTATCGGTAGCCTGGTCGATATGATTCGACCCACAACTTTTTTGCACTTTTTTCTATTTTTTTCATCATTCGGGGCTGCTTTGGGAATTTTTTGCAAAAAGAATGAAATTTTTGCGACAACTTTTTGCAATTATGTGCATAAATGTATGCCTCGTAATAGCCCCCACTACACGCACGGCGTAAAACAAACGAGTGGGACGCGCGTGCTCGCTCATAATCAGTTGCATATTGTTTTTGTGTTACAATTTTATTCATTTATTTTTCTTCGTTATTTATTTTTATTGCAGTGTACATGTTTGTAATTAAATAAAATATTTTCTGAACAACGAACCTTTTTTGTCAGAAACGACTCGATTGGCAGTCATACCGAAATTCGCCTACAATATCAAAATTGTCGTGACGATTTTACTCGTGGATTCGATACCGCATGAAGGAAATATGAAAATTCTCATACGTGACAGTCGGAGGAAACGACACGAGATAAGCAATTTTGACAGTGAAGGGCGAGCTCCTATAATGGTAATCGAAGGTGCCGCCTTCCGAATCGAAAGACTCGAAGAGAAGTATGTGCTGTGGAGTAGAGGACCCACCTCGAGCGAAATTGTCGTTTCTGTAAGATGTTTTATTTTTATTTTGAAATATTATCAAATTTTTTCAGGCGCACTGGCTCGAGTTTTATTTTGTAATAGCTAGAAAACGTAAACATAGAGTAGTAGGGGTCGCTCGTATGTATACCATACTTATCAATAATAACAATAGTACATGGCTTTGCATACGCGCAGCCTCTACTTCGCATTGCTTACGTTTTCTTGGCGGTGCAAAACCAATGTATATCCAGCGTAGTAAATATTTTAAAGTGTTGAATGTAATTTTTTTACAGTTATCTACAGTCAAATCAATAATCCGTGGAGGCGCTTCGATATCAACTTCTTCTCAATTTACAATAGAGCGCGGCAAATTGAGCCCATCTCGAGGAAAGTACTCGTGGTTTCCCGATTCCGCCGAAGCTTGCTCGGCTCAATGTGGCGGTGGAACGAGAAAACGACATCTCGTTTGTCGCGATACAGTTAAACGAGAGCTGGTCTCTCGCAGAAGGTGCCTCTTAATCGCCAAACCACCGAATTATACAGAAATCGAAAGTTGCAACGCCCACAGGTATATTTTTCATCATTTTTAAAAAAATTTTCATATAAAAATGTATGTTTGTCTGCAGTTGTGAATACACGTGGATAGCCGGTTCCTGGGAGCGTTGCACCTACAAGCTAGGAAACACATGCGCGAGCTCGGGTATTCAGCAACGAAGTCTGTACTGCGTTCGCAGGTCACTCGGGATACGACAGGTGACACACGAAAATGAACTCAAAGTCTACCGAAACACTTTGCCACCCTTGGTTTGCCGAGACCAACCGCAGCCCGAAACGGTACGCTCTTGCGGTGGTCAGAAGAATTATTGTCCTGGCCAGTGGGTTTATTCCGATTGGTCACCTGTGAGTATTATAAACAATTTTTCACTCAATTTCGAAGAAATGTATGAATTGGAAATATTTTTTAGTGCTCGAAAAATTGTGGACGCGGTATACAAAAACGCAAAGCTCGCTGCATAACAAAACCATCCAACAATAATGTTCCTCACTACAAACCATTGCTCGCCATCCAACCTTTACTTTTAGACGCTTGCAATGCAACTCGAGCACCCGATGAAATAAGAACTTGTCGAGTTAATTATGGCTGCGGCAGTCACCGTCAAAGCCCACCAACGACTTCTTGGATCTGTCAAGACGATGAGAAAATATTTTGTGCATCGAAAAATCTCAAAGTTAGATGTAAAAATGCGGCGTTTAGAAAAAGATGCTGCCATTCCTGCAAATCTGGAAAATAAAAGTAGAAAATTGATCTGCGCTTAAAAAAATTTTAGACAACTGAGTAAAGACTGATGAAAACACGCGAAGCTTTAACTATGTATAATAATAATTTTTAAAATACTTTTTGTTATTCCAATAAGAATAATGTACATAAAATATCAGAGGTAAAAATAATTGTAATGAAATTTTACATTTAAAAGTTTATTCCATTTTTATGCGAATAAATTTTAGTATAAAATTTATCTGATTAACATAATAATAAGATATTAAGACTTCTTTCATTTGTAAATAAAGAAATTACTTAAAAAATAATACTGAAAAACATAATAACTGTACAAGGTTGAATTATTCCAATGAGGCTAAGTTTATTTTGTTATCATAAAATGTACAATGCTTTGATAATACACAGATAAAATCGTCAGTGTTTAATCGTATGACTCTCGCTTCAGTAGCGAATTTGCATTCTATTTTAGTTCATACTCGAAAAGACCTAAAATTTTACGTATTTCTTTTATACGTATTGTTATTCTGAGAGATGTTTGGTGTAACAAATTCAAATGACGCATTCGCATGGGTCATGTTCATATGATATTTTTCGAGCATTTCTCTAGCTGTTTCAAGGCATTTAAAATAGAACACGAGAGACGAAGACATGTGTATGTATATCAGGGACGCAGCGAAGCCAGCGCGCATATAATAACACGTCGTATTTTCAAATAAAGCGCTAATTAACATTTATCGACTAATAAGCTGCTTGAATGGAAAACTTCATCATATTATACTTGTAGTATTGTAAATAATAGTTGACTCGTCAAATTTTCTATCTGAGCAGTTTTGTGGAAAAGTATAATGAATACAATAGTATTGTCAGTATTTTTGAACTACGTCGACATGATTTTGACGTTGTTTTTTTTATATCATAATGTATGTGCAAAGCTACTTTATAATTGGTAAGCTTAGCAATATAGGTATACAAATATATGAGTGCAGTGGATTTCACAGTCATATATTGGAAAAAAGGTGTAATGTTAAATAAAATGTAAAAAATTATAATCAGACTTACTATATTTATTAAATCTAAAAATAAAAGGTTAAAAAGTAAAATTTAATAATTATATAACAGATCATTAATATAATCGAGTTTAACTTTTAACAAATAAATAATTTCATAAAATCACTAATTTTATTTAATCTTTAAAAAACACTACATAAAATAAAAGTTATGATGTAGATATCTAACATATTAACATGATTAGAGACAATCATTGAAAGTACCTGTTATCTATCTTGTGTAGCTTACAAATTAAAAGCATCGATGAATTAACAAAATTTGTGTACATCGATATTTCTATACGCACCTTATGTTAATTTCACATTAAAATTGGTACTTTGAACGTACGCATAAATTTATATTGCGGACAAGTCCCGACTTTGAGGTTTATGATTTACACTTTTGAACTGTAGATTGGTATGCAAGCATTGAGCAGCAGAGCATATGTTTTTAAAGTAATTCATTTTATGATTCGTTACACTTTGTCTTTCTTTCACAAACGAAAATTTATAAAAATACAAATTTAAAAAGGCAAAGTTTTTTGGTTAATCTTCGTATGAAATTCCTTTTTTTTATTAAAAGTCTAGAATTTCTTCAATTTTTCGTAGTAGACGAGTTAAAATTTGATTTGGCAATGGGTGATTCGTAAAACGTTCATCAATTTATGTCATGCATGTATAATAATAGCAAATACAGAATAACTAACGTGTTTGTAGCTGCTTTGTTTGATACTTTACAAACCAAAGTACATTTGTTCATATAAATTTTAAAAACAAAACAAAAGATTACTTACTTCAATTTAGATCCATAATCTTACACAATACAAGTTATTACAGTCTCTATTATATGTTACAGACAATACCAAGTACAGATTTGATTAATCTTAATTTTACGCGTGAATTATTTATTATTATTATTTTTTTCATAAAGCAACATCGAAAAATGTACATTTTCTAAAATGTTTGTTTTTAGCAAATAGTGTAAATGTTAAAATTTACGGTAAAAAAGAAATTTCGCAATTGTATAGAAAATTTGTGTATATATTGTCAATCAGATGAGTATGTTTTTCCACCTTCATAATATATAATCCAAACGTACGAAGCCTTGTGATTTTTTTATATCATAACAATAAGTATTTGTCTATGGGGTGTCAGTGGGTATAACTATACGAATGACTTTTAATTACGTTATCATACACTACTTACAAGTTAAACTTACACTGATGAATCGATAAATTCGAGTAACATCTAAATATTTCATACTCTTTTTTTTTTATTTTTGGTAGATGCGGCATTACATTAGCTTACTATATTAGCTTTTGTTTTCATGAGTCTCTAAAGCGTGTTTGTTTGATAATATTCTTATTCGAGCTATTTTACTTTGTCATTAATTTACGTATCGTGCGACTCAGTGATAATGAGATAAAACTGGCAAAACGCGTTGTATACAATTATTTTTCACGTAGCGATAGGTTCTCGTTATTTTGTAAAGCTGCAGGAAGACAGTAGTATATAATAGCTTTGATTCTTTTATAACGATATTTACAAACGTTTATTTTCATTATAATTTGATATGGCGCTTAATTGTCTTATTGCATGGAGCAGAGCTCAAAAGTATGGAGCAACGAAAGACACTGCTCGCGGTAATTTCATCTCTACTTCTATAAATGTACAATATCAGAAAGTCGCGTGCAAATGTAATCTTTGGATAGAGAAGGTTAAATAATAAATTATTTATATATAATGCAGAAAGATGTGGTCGGCCCGAGTAATTCAGGTGCGATAATTGGCCGGGCGGGTGCAGCTGGCCGTGCCGGGCGCTATAGCCGAGAGTATGCGCTCGATGAGGCGCGATCTGCGTCGCCTCGGGGGCGGCTGCTGCTCGACGACGACGACCGGCGGTGGCTGCAGTATGTGGGCCCGCTGCTAGAGCTCGCGGCTCCCGGGGGCCCAGCCTCACAAGCGCTCCACGTAGTTGCCCGGGAAGGTGCCGAAGAAGCCGGTGCGCTGCGACGAGCCGACGTACCAGCCGTCGTCGCACTTCTCCATTACGAACACGGTGTCACCCTCGTTCAGCTCGAGCTCGTCGGCGTTTTGAGGACGATAGTTGTAGAGGGCACGGTACCTGAGTCGACAAACAAAATTAGTACATTCGTGCCTCCTGATCGTGCCAATTTTTTCACGCAATACTCACGGAATGGGTTCGGAGTGCGTGTCGATGTGGAGGGCCTCGTTCAGTGACTCTACGTTGACTTTTGTACCTCCTCGGGGCTGCAAATTCAAATAAACTATCTTAAAATCTCTTATTTTATTTTAATAAAATAGATATATGATATGACTTACCAGTGAATTATAGTGGGGCTGCGTTGCGTTAATATTAACTGGTAACGAAGGCGTATAATGATGAGGTCCCATACTGAGCTTACCACCGGATGAGCCATTGGACAGGAGACTATGAGCAGCTGGAGAAGCCACGGGTTTTCCTTGGATGGGCGTTTCTGTAAATTCACATTTATAAATATTTAGTTCCATGCAATTGATTGTAAAAAGGTTAAAAAGTTTAGTCGCAACAAACCAGGTCTTTGGCCAGGTTCACAAATGACATCTACGTATGACACGGGGAATATTCCTTTGCGTCCATGAGGTCCAAGACGACCTTCGTACCAATTTTCATCTACCCTCCGCAGCAAGTAGACCAGTTCACCTGCAATTATGAAATCATGAAATAATATCAATCTTCGAACGAGTTAAAATTTTATTTTTTAAACAAAACATACCTTTGGTTAATGATAATTCAAGATTAGTTTGGGCAACGAAATTAAATTTGGCTCGTGCCTGTCCCTCATACGAAGGTTTTTCGTACGATTTTTTCGGCAACGTTGTAGTTCGGATTTCATCGAAAGGAACGATCTGAAAAAGTATGATTTTAATCATTTTAATAATCATCTATAATGCCATAATTTTTGGGATAAAAATATAATGTTTCTCGTAAAACATTCACTGTCACTCATTTTTTGAAGTTATGAATTTCTCATGTAAACATTCTTTGAATTCAAAGACCAATCGATTTTTAGGAGAATAAGCTTCCGTCGATAAAATCGGTTTCTGCAAGAATGACATTTGCTTGTGCACCAACAAACGATATATTTATACCCTATACGAAAAGCGTCAAAACAAAATAATTGATTAAAAAATGTAAATGTACCTCGACGTAATTGAAGGGAAAGAGTCCAACCATGGCATTGTGCTCGCCCTCGTACCAATTTTTGTCGACCTGACGCCTGACGTAGATAAAATCACCGCGGCGGAACGTCAGCTCGCGGGGCGACTGACCGATGAAGTTGTAGAGTGCGCGTGCCACTAGGCGAGGCTCAGGCGTCTGCTCTTGCGATCTGCTGCGATAGCTCAGATCGTCCACGAAGTCGTCGTATCGATTCAGAGGTATAGGTGACTTTTGCGATGGTCTGTGAAGCAGATGCCAATATTTTAATGGACCACGTAGACTTGCGAACAAGTTGAAATAATTTATCAATTCTTTTTAATCGAATTTTTCGTTTTGTTTTATTGTTTTGAGTAATCAAAAATTTCATGAGTAACAATTATAATTTAAATTTTGAGCAATATTCACTACCAAACAACATATTTTTTTAACGGGTTAATTTTTTTATCGGTCAGTAAGCTATTATTAGGCTCAAAGGTAATGCAATCAATTCGTGTTTATCGGAAAAATTGATTAATCAGCATTTACAAAAGTTATTTTTGCTCTTTGTGGTTTTGAAATATACCTATAGCTATGATCAAAAGTGATATCCAAATAACGAGACGACGTTTCTGAGGGTGTTTTGCTACTGTAAATAGAAAACATTTTTTCTTCTCTTCTCTCAGTCAAGACGGTTGGATATTGGCACAGTCATATTATACTCACATGAAATTGTCGGTGTGGCGTCGCGAATCGATGTCGTGCAGCTCCTGAAGATATTTGCGTCTTCGCTCTTCCTGATAGACTCGGCGCATATTCTCGGCGCTGCGCCTGGCGAGCTCCTCCTCGCTCAGTGGCTCCTTAGCTTCGGTGCGCACTGGCGAGCGGTAATGAATCGTCACCTCGCCCTCCACATAGCGCCTCGGTGATTCTGCACGTTGCCCATTGAAATTAAGAGAAAACCAATTAAACACCTTTGCCATAATTTTCTCTATTTTAAATACGACTATTGTGTAGGGCTAGTTTTTGCAATTAAACTCTTCAACAACTCATCCTTAGAGCGACGGAATTACCATCGACCCAGCGAATATCCTTAATTATGCATAAGCAATGATTGAAGATAGTAATGGAAATTTTCACGGTGAAAATACAATGCATAGGCGCGTACTCGAGCAAGGAACTATTATTGTAACGAAAATTACACTTTCTCGCTTACATGAGCCGGCTATGTACGCTACCCTTCGCTGATTATCATATACTTCGGATGAGTATCTTCATACAGGCCAAATAACACATAATCAAAATAAAGCAGGTTTTAACTTTCTACCATATAATATAAAGCTCAAGTTAATTGAATTTTTAAAGGATTGAAATGTCCAAGTCATCTGAATTTAAATGACAGAGTAACATGATTGAATTAAAGCATTTTTCTGCTTTTAGTTTTACGATATATATTGCATATTTTATACATTTTTTTCTAGAATCTATAGTATATCGTGGTTAAAGCCTTAAAAGCTTTTGAAATGTTCGCAACTCGATAAAAGTAGTGATAAATCTATTTTATCGTTCGATACCTATATCACGAGGCTGTTAAATATAAAAAAGAAAAAAAATATTGGTTAAAAATACTGCAGTGCTAACTTAGTTTCGTGTAGCTGACCGAATCTGTTTCACTGCTAGTGCGTTACTTTTAATTGATCAAAACTGGTAAAATTGGGACGAGAAAAAATTTGCGCAGGGTTAGAAAACTGTCGGGTGTATGTACATGAGACAAACAAAGAACCGCAGGAATCGCATAATTGTTTTCGCCTGTGTTGATGAAATTTGGTCTGTCGTTTAAAAATGTCGTATATGCCTTTTTTCAATTTTTTTTCACAAACTTCAATGATACGTGAAGCAAAAAAAAAAATGTTTCCAAACAAGTTGTGATGAATGCAGTTTTGTTTTGAAATTCTGTTTTTCTTTTATATATGCCAACTATGTAAGGGTATTCGGAATGATTTTAAAGCATACACCAAAGAATTTTTGAGTCAATATCTAGAAATATGAAAGAAACATTTTTTAATAATATAATGAACTTTTAAAAAAGTCAATTACAAGGAGATGAAATGATTTCATTAAATAATTAATCGCGTTTTTAATAGAAGCATTTTATCATTTAACCGAGAAAGATCTGCAAGAATAGAGAATTTAAATTGATTAAACTACTAAATTGAAATCTTAAGTTTTTAAAATTTCGTAGAGATGAATGTAAGAAAACTGGCAATAAATACTAATGAAATAATGGGTAAAGTTTATTTTTCAAATGAATTCATAGTTAAATATTTATCTAATATCAAATGGCCAACCTTTTGACTCCGGGCATTAAATTGTTCTTTCAGAATATACTTTCATTTTACTTTTCACTCTGATAAGCAGTTGTATGCACTTTTTAGTTTTTTCTTGCCACGTCCTTCTTACGTAAAAAGTTACAGTACATGCACGAAAAAGAATGACGCGCAGCAAAATTCATTCATTTACTCGTCGTTCTATTGTTCCAGGGACGGTATTTTAATAAAACGAAAAATAAAATCACGTGACCTGCTTTTTGAAGATTCACCGGGAGTTGTACGTGTTGCGGACGCGTATGTGACGGAGAAGAGCAAAAAGAAGGAAAAATTGGATCTCAGATAAAGCGACCCACATAGTTGAATCTCTCTTTCTCTCTTTGCTGTTGAAGTAGTTCACAAACCTTTCTAAGGTTTCTTTGGAGATAGTAAAATTTATTTTTTCCCGATTCATTTGTGTATACACACACGACGGAACGGCGTTCTATTATATCGAAATAAATTTTACATTTTTAAATTAAATTAAAAAAGAGCCAACGAGAGTCTTCCTGTGGAGACATGTTTTGTCAAAAGCAATTTTATAATATGCAACGATACTTGACAGTGTACATAAATACTGCATCACCCTCGTACGAGTGTCGTGATCCGCTTCGCACGCGCAATTGTTTCGCAATAAATTACACCTAGTTATAGATTTGAAATAATTCAAGGCAGAGACCGATATAGAGGGAGAGAAATGAATTGGTATACCAATAACGGGGTAGAGAGAAAAGTGAATTCTTTACGCGCAAAGTAACAAATGAGATTACAATAATGCACAAATGAAGTTTCAGGAAAATTAGATTAAAATTGTTACCTAGTACAGACGTGCACGCAGGTAGCTCGCGTAGCTAAGGTTAACGAACCTTTTGCAATGCTGAAAAGATTCCGAAACGAAGTGAAAATTTGCCAATTGCAAGCGATGCGTTACGTACGTTAATTAATAGTTGTCTTTTTGAGCAAACGTACACGAGCAGAAGAGGCACAGAGCTATAGGCGTCGCATGCAGAGTACACGCAGTTGCTCTCATTTAGAGGCGCATGAAATCGTTCGCCGAAAAGTCTCTCACGAGTCAATAACAAAAGGCAGACAAGCGAGTGCGTATAGGCTTATATAAACGAGCCGAAATTAATTATAGATTAGCCCCCAAAGAGAATGAAGAGCCTGACGTGCGTGGATAGAAAGTGGCTTGCCACGCATCCAGGCTGCTTTTGCCGACTATCGCGTACAACACATACACATTCGCAATTAAATTTGAGGCACATGTACCGATTCTCTCGCAGGTCGCTCGAACGACGACGGCCCGATCGTCGCTCTGCAAAACTTCAGCCATGATCGGTGAGACACATTTGCACTGTATACGATATAGAGGCCCTCTTCTCGCAGTCGCGATCGATCTGCTTGCGGTGATGACACTGAGAGCCTTGGCTCGACGGCTCGTTGGCGAGCACACGCGAGACCTGTCTACGTGCGGCTAAACAAAGATTTAATACTGCGCGCGCGCATTTCTACTGTTTGTCTACGACGACGACGACGACGACACTCGACGGTCGACTGGGGGTTGGCTGACTTTTTTTCTCCCCCCGGGTATCGATGAGCCATATTTCCCTTGTCGCGCACACCTACAGCTCTCTGTAAGGCTCTTGCTTCGCTACCAAGTATACATAGGAGTAATTTGCAGCTTGTTTGCTGCGAATCGCTTCGCTAAAGTTTCAAGTTCATTGCACCCGGGCTCCTATCGCGCGCGTATGTCGGTCGTTGTCGCTTTGAAAATGTAGTTATATCAGCGAAAGTGTATACCAACATAGAGTCGAGTAGTGCGCGCGCGATTCCCCTCCCCGTCCTCGTGTACAACAAAGCATCGGCGCGTGCCGTAATTGACAATCTAGCCTGTAATCAATTAATCTTCTGGCGTCTCCAACGCTCACAACGAGTCTCCGTGTTATGGCTCTAAAAAAGGAGCTATATACCTCCGATAAAAGCTTAATGGATCGACACGCCCATTATGCTCTCGATTAATGGATGAGCACGTGCTTTTTCGCCCGAGCGAGAAAGTCCAGGATTTCGTTGCATCGATTAAATTATTGGGAATCAACAATCGGGAACATGAAACATTTGCATAATTCAATGATATACCACAATTAGTGTATGCGCTATTTTTTCAAACTGGAAATAGGTATGCGCGAGACATGGATCGTTTTGCATCGATATGAGCTACACCGTCTTTGCTGACTTTCTACTTGGCTTCTCACAGAAACGCAAATCTAACTATGCAAATTCCTCTATCTGCCTGCTTTTTCATGCCGGTTCATAAGTATATATGAGAGCAATTTTTTCAGCTTTGAATTTACGATATACACGAAAAAACAAACTGCCAACGAATTCTCATCCGTTTGAAAAAATATTCCCGGCTACTTTGATCCACGAGATCGCATAGAAAAAGCTCGTTACTCGCGCGCGTACACACACACACAGACACCGAATTGGTATCTAACTAGAACATCCTCGCTGCCAGCTCGTATATATAATGCACATTTGCCTCCGATATCGTATCCGAAACAAAAGGTGGCTGCAGTTATGTATAGCGGCATAGGGTAACAAAAGAGAGAGAAGAAGAGATGGACGAGTACGACACGAGGTACTGCGTGCTATAGGTGCTACTATACTGACTGTACGGTGCTGGTCCGTAGAGTGAAGTGGCAAGCGTAGTTCCTGTATCCTGTAGCTGCTGCAGCTCTTGTCGGCGTTGTCGTTCGTTCTTTTCAGCCGCCAGACGTTCTTTGGACGCCGCGTGCACCAGCCTCGGCGATAGTAAAATATCGTCTTCGGTCTCGTCGCTCAAAAGGTCCGAGCATGATTTATGGAACGAGCTCTGACCTCGGCGACGAATCATGCGCTCGATTTTCGTCTCGGCCCGCCGAGGCGACGACAGCTCCAGCAGGCTGTGGCTCAGATTCGAGCTGTCGCGCCTTTTCCACGCCACCGAGGAAGACAGAGAGTCGTTGCCGCGCTCGAGCTCGTCACAGCTATTGCTGTGATTGCGCCTCAAGTCCTTTCTCGGCTCGAGCCGGCCATCGGTCTCGTCGACGCTTCTCTCGAAGTTTTTCTTCAGCAGGCTCACGGCCGATCCGTTGACGGCCGACGAGCGCGACCACGAGTTCATCGAGTTGAGCTCGAGGCTCGACAGATTCGGCAAGGACTTTCGTAAATTTCGATTCAAGCGCTCCCTTCTCTTCTGAAAGGATTTGGCCGTGTCGTTCCAAACCGATGGGACGAGCGAAGATTTACGCGCGACTCGCTCGTCGGCCAATTTATTCTCGTCGTCGTTGCTCGGCAGGCGACTGGTCATGCATTTCCAGGTACCTCCATTTCGGTCCGTGCCAAAATAGGTCAGGGGTAAGGAGGACAATTTCGGCGACAAGACTTTCGGCTGATCGAAATCCAACGAGTCGGGAGTTGTACCGAACTCCGCTCGTGATTTCCTGCCGTCGGTGCTGCTGCTTCCGGAATGATTGCTTTGGCTCGTCAACGTCTCGGTGCTGCCGAAGCGCAGGCTACTTTTCAA